ACAAACCTATGCCAAAGGAATGCCTGCAGCTCTGAAGTGGATGTGTTTGGTGGGCACCTGCCTGTCCCCTCACGCCCCCTCCCCACCCTGCCATTCTCGTCTGATACATCCATATGAGCAGCCAGTATGTACTGCTTATGTCCCTTCTCGCCCTACCTCTTAACACCTGCTGGTTTCACTGTGTGACCTCACCCACCTCCCTGTTGTGTTCCAGCATTTCCTTTAAGACCCAACTCGAGGGCTCCTTCTTCCCAGAATAATTGCTCTGACTTTATAATTGCCTCATTTCATGTCAACTTCCTACATATGTATATGTATATTTGTACTTTGATATCATGTGCTTGATTATAGAACACTTGTAATGGATATTTCTAGGATATGTGGTTTCGCCTCCCCACTAAATTGTGAGCCCCAAGAAAGGAGAGATCATGCCTTCTGTGTATTTTGGTTGTATGCCCACAATACCTGGCAAGATACCTGGCCCAGGGCTGGAATCCCATGTACCATTAACCATCAAATGGATAAATAGATTTGACACTAGGAGCAATTTATGTTGCTGACTTTCAAGCGAGAGCAGAAAGGGGCTGTCACAGTCATGCGTGGGTTCTGAAAGTTGGAGCCTGGAAGCTCTGTGAAGAAGGCTGTGTCCAGGGGACCACGAGGTCACAGAGGAAGGGATGGAAGCAAGAGCCGGGGGGGAAGCTGCTCGGTGGGGTGAGGAGGCCAGGGCCTTCTGGTGTGTCCATGTGTCCATGGCCCGGCTGCAGAGCAGACTGACCCACCGCCTAGCCGTGCCCACAGCTCTGGGCTTGGTGGTCTTGGGCCTGGGAAGGCTGAGGCGTGATGAAGGCCCCAGCATGTTTCACTCTCAGTGCGTCTTCAGTACTAATCACTGTGTCCTCTGTGTCTCTCCCCATCTCCTTCCACCCCCAGAGCCAAAGGACGAAGTGGAGGTGTCAGATGATGGTGAGTGCTGGCCACCTGTCCTCAGGTAGACTCGAGGCGGGGAGGGGGGCGAGTGAGGAATCGGATGGCTCACACTCACCCCGCCCCACCCTGCAGATGAGAAGGAACCTGAGGTCGACTACCGGACGGTGATTGTCAATACTGAACACAAAGTGTCTGACTTCTACGACATCGAAGAGAGACTAGGCTCGTAAGTGGTGCAGGAAGTGCCTTTGGGGCCCCCAGAGTGGGGGTGGCACAGATCCCATCATTAAATTCCGTGCCTTGTCTTCCCATCTTTTCCTGGGTTCTGCCAGCTTCCCACGCTGAGGCCCCCTGCAGAAGCAGGAGGTGCTGACCTGGGTCAGCACCCCAAGAGGGCAACCTCAGCCAGGGCGCTCTTAGGAGCTTCTTGTGCAACCGACTCAACTCCATGAGAGGCTTGAGCAAGCCCTGCCTTTCCTGTGCGTTACTCCAACCAGGCTGATAAGGTGACTGGGTCTGGGTCAGACTGTCCGAGGCTACCTTCCATGTCATCTGCAGGAGTCAGTCAAGCCTGACCAGTCTCACTGTTCAGCAACCGTAGCTTTAATGCATCCATAAAATGCACACCGCTGAAAGGCACAGCTGCTCACTCTATGAATCTGGCCCACACTATTAGCTCTGGCTCTCCCCTGGAGTGTGGAGACCCCAACCCTGAGCCCTCGTCACAGCCACACCGTCCCCTCCAGCAGCAGCACCCAGGGCCGACTGTCTCCTGCTAACTATCCCTAAAGGAGCAGGATGGAAGAAAAGGGGACGGGGCTCAGGTTTGATTTCTAGCAAGTTCCTGGGGAAGAAAGGAGTGACACCAGCCTCAACAGTTCTGCACAAGGAGCCTGCTCTGTCGGGAGGAGCTGTGTCAGAGGAATACCTCACTCTCCTCCCCTGCAGTGGACGGCAGGGGCCTTCCTGGGCCGTGTCCAGGGGACCAGTGCTGAGCAGTGGAGCAGGAGGAAAGCAGCCACTCGGAAGTTCTCTGTAGTTGGGGAGGACTGTCTCCACCCAACTTCATGGGTCTGTCTTCGGGGAAGGGGAGAGAAGCCCACCAGCCAGGGTGGAAGCCTCAGCCCAAGGAAGTGATGGCCCTGAAAGAAGAGCAAACCTGGGCAGTGTTTGGGCAGGGATGCAGGGCCAGGCACAGGCTGGGGTGACAGGTGAGAGAGAGGAGGTTTGTCTGTGTTAGAGGAACCCTTCATGATCCAGAGCAGGGACCGGCAGACTTTTCTATAAAGGGCCAGAAAACGGGTAGCTTAGGTTTTGTGGGCCATATGCTCTCCGTCGCAGCTACCACTCTGCCACTGAAGCACAAAAGTGGCCGTAGACAGTGTGCGCACCAATGGGTGTGGCTGCATCCCAATAAAATTTTATTTCTAAAAAGAGGTGGGCTAGATTTGTCCCACAGGCCACCATTTGTCAGCCCCAATTTAGTGGAAAGCTTGGCTAAATTTGCCTTTCCTCTCCTCCTCCTTTCATTTCCAGTGGGAAATTTGGACAGGTCTTTCGACTTGTAGAAAAGAAAACTGGAAAAATCTGGGCAGGGAAATTCTTCAAGGCATATTCAGCAAAAGAGAAAGAGAATATCCGGCAGGAGATCAGCATTATGAACTGCCTCCACCACCCCAAGCTGGTCCAGTGTGTGGATGCCTTTGAAGAAAAGGCCAACATCGTCATGGTCCTGGAAATGTGAGTGGTTTGCTGGGGGCCCCTTGTGTGTGCCCACACCCAAACCCCTCTGCCTGGAAATGGAGAGCCCTGCAGGCAGGCCTATGACATGAAGGACACTCCCCAGCCCACGTGGCCGGGTGTCGCCCCCTCAGAACAGACGATCTGTGCTCACCTGTGGCCCTAACCCATGACCAGCAGCCCACAGCAACCCTGTTCACTGCCATAACAAATTGGCGGATCTCTGAGGACCCCTGCCCCCTTTTCACCCTCACCTCCCTGTGAAAGGGCCAAGGTTACCTGTAGGCTCCTTTCGTTCAGGGATGTTCTCACCTAGAGGTAGCTTTGGAGTGGAAGGGGAGGGACACAGCCACTTCCTGAATGGCCTTCAAAAGAAGAGGGGCCCAGGGCTGGGGGCTCAGGATACGGGAGCGTAACCCTTGCTCCTGTCCTCCTCCTGTGCCCTGCATGCCCCCATACATGCCTGCTTGTGTTCTCCACTGCTCCCTCAGCAGAGAGTAGTGCTTCCTGGGCTGAGTTGTACATGGGCGGAGGCATGTATCACATGACCTCCCGCCAAGGCTTCCTGGGATCCATGGTTCCTCTAGTCCCCATCCTCCACTTGTCTCACCTCTGAGCCACTGACCATGTGTATGCACACACCCACACACACACACACACACACACAAATGCACATATTGTTCTCAATAAGCCAGGTGTCCTCTGCAGAGGTGTCTGTGTTTTTCAGAGTTTCCTTTCCTTTTTCTTTTTAAGTTTATTTATTTATTTTAGATAGAGAGAATGAGCAGGTGAGGGGCAGAGAGAGAGGGAGAGAGAGAGAATCCCAAGCAGGCTCCTCACTGCCAGCACGGAGCCCTATAAGGGGCTTGAACTCACAAACTGTGAGATCATAATCTAGCTGAAGTCAAGAGTCAGATGCTTAACTGACTGAGCCACCCAGGCGCCCCTCCTTTCCTTTATTTTTTTAATCAGAATTTGTTAATGTTATGCAATCACATTTAAAAAAATGTGAGAAAATACACAATGGAGAGTTCGTTCCAACCCCTGTCCCCCATAGCCCCCACCACTGCCACCAGTAACCATTTTTATTTATTTTATTGTTTGTATCCTTCCAAAGTTTCTTTATGAAAATATAACCATATATTTTTTAAAAATAGTTCCCACCTTTTCACACAAAGCTAACTCATATCCACTATCCTGTGTCTTGCTTCTTTTCATTCAGCAATTCACCTTGGTATGAACTGCTGTGAACATACCAGTAGCTGATAGGCCTCCTCGTTCACCCTGCCCGTGGAATTTCCTTCCATGCATAAACCACAGTTTACTCGAGCAGTCTTCTTTTGAAAGGCGGTTTCACAGTTTCCAGGCCTTTGCTTTTGCAAATAAGCAGCGTTTGTAACCTTGTACTTGCATCTTCTCACTCCTATGTACGTCTGTAGGGTGAATTCCTGGAAGTGTGGGTGTGCTAGATCAAAGGGCATGTGCATCTGAAATCTTTAGAGCTATTGTGAAATAGCCTTCAACATCCTTGAATTGCTCATCTTGAGCGCCAGGACTCTCTGTCCTTTGGAGGGGGCTCTACCAACACCTTCCTTCCCAGGAAGGGTGAGGCCAGTGAGGCCTCCCCAGGCTTGAGGTGTGACCTTCTACCCTCTCTCTGTGATGGCTTCGGTGTGTTTCCTTTCGGTTTATGTACATTTGGAAAAGCTATAGTGGGTTAAAAGCATAGAGTCCAAAGTGAGTCCGATAAATCTCCCATCAATCCAACTCTGCCTCTTACCTGTTGTGTGGCCTTGAATAAGTAACTCAGCTTTGCCTATCCTTAGTGTTATTATCTGTACACAGAGGATATAAGCTGCTTTATGAATGATGTGGGGATTAAATGGAATAATGTATGTCAGGCATTGTGCTGTATAATTGGGACTTAATAGTATGATACATTGACTTTTCCTGTGTCATGGTCTTTTTTATTTTTTCACTTAAAATTATTTTGTGAGCATTTAACATACAACTAGGTGTTGTGGAACAAACCCTACAATTCAGGAGAGCTGGAGTCTGGTCCTGTTACTGCCAAGCTGTGATTTTCTAATTATTAAGTCCTTCCAGCATCTAAACTTCAGCAATTCTGTGGAACTGTAAACGATCCAAAGAAAAGCTGCATTTGTGTCTTAGAATTTGTATCTTACAATCGGTTTTCAGCCCCCGTCTAAGCTTACCTCCCCACTTCCAGGCAAGAGTAGCCCGTGTCTGTGGCCTCACCCATCACAGCCTTACAATAGCCCTGTGGGCTGCAACAATTCACATTTATTCTAGAACAAGTTGCTGGGTCCAGGCAGTGTGGGCATGCGTGGACATGCGGAGAAATGTCTTATGTTTAGATGTTAAGCCTTGGGCAAGTTTGTGCGAGGGTGCGGGAGTGGGGTAGGAGGCAGCCAAGCCTGGGAGAGGCCGGGCAGCAGCACCAGTGGGCAGAATACCATACTTAGCGTGGAAATGCGAGTTGGCAAGCTGGATGGAAAATGTTGAGAGAAAACGTAAGAAGGCCTCGGCTGGCCTGGCTTTCATCCCTCTTCCCCACATCTCTCCCAGGGGCAGGAGCAATCTGACACGCACAGATGCCAGATGATTCTTCTGCACTTGGGGTAAAGAGCTTGCCCCTTGATAGGAGCTCAACCAAAGAAGTGGGAGCACATTCACACTCGGTCTGTACTTCTCTTCCAGCTTAAACAGACTCAGCCATGAGAGGGCAAAGGCTAGCTTGCAGAGGGTACCATTTGCTATTCTCCTTGTTTGATGGAGAAACTGAGATGAAGAGAAAGATAATGCCTGGTGATGTAGAAAAGTGAAAATATATTCCAGGGGCCTCTCTGTCTGTTCAGCTGCCTCAGACACAGTGAGAAATCAGAAGTAATGTGTGCCTTCAGCCTTTCTGACCTCTGATCACAGGACAAGCCCCCACCTTTATAGCAGTGTTGCCCAGACATGGAGATTCCCTCAGGCTCCTGGCCTGCAATCTGGGCTTGTCCTTTGGGTGTGCTCGGGACATTCCAAGGGGCAGTGGGACCCTCAGCAGTGAAGCAGAAGTGCGATTTAGACCAAGTCATCCACCGCCCACCTCACTTTTGTGCTACCATTGGCAAAATTTAGCAAAGAATATTCAGCAAGGAGTAGAGGGTCTGGGTATGGAGTTTGGAGTCCCCTGAAACGCCATACCTTCTGGCTGCCAATGGGGGCTGGCCAAGGTCTACAGTTTGGGGAATGAATTTGATCCCTTGGGATTAGGTAGCCTTGGTAGTAGGTATTCACTCACTGGCTCACTGTCCGTTTACTAAGAGCACATTCCCTCTGGCTCAGCCTTGGCCCTTGGCATCATCTCTGTGGGTGGCAGCTTCTTTCCACCCTAACCTTGAGTATTTTGAAGAGAAACCTACACAGAACCATTAATCCTATTTATGTTATCCCTTCCATCCTAGAAAATGGACCACGGAACAGTTTTCAAAATACATTAAGTACATTTGAATAGGTTTGGACCTATTTGAACTTACATTGAATAGGTTACCTCTAGAAATGCAGTAGTAATTACCTCCGTGGCTCAGATTTCCACTACACATTGCCTCAGACATTCCGAAAGGCACTTAAAATAACGGTTGCTTGCTTTTCCAGAATATTTTAAATTTAAAAGCATTTAAATTTTGGGGCACCTTGTCGGTGCCAGATATGGCCAGGTGTAAATAAAGGTCTAGAGATGAGCCAGACCTTTTCCACATATACTTGCAAACAAGCATAAGCTAAGGCAGACTTGATACAAAAAGCTCAGAGACAAGACTGTGGAAAACCCAGGGAGGGAAAGATCATTTCAAATGGGGAAATCGGGAGTGCTTTCTCAAAGGAATTTCTTGGTGAATTGAATTTCAGCTGCCATCCCAAGGGCAACTATTGGGTAAGCTGGAAGCCAGTATTTCCCAAGCTTGTGTCATCATAAGAATTATCTGGCTAACATCTGGATCCTCCCAAGATTTTCTAAATCAGAATCTACAGGGGAAGATCTTGGGAGTCTGTATTTTCAATAAGGGTCCCAACTGGTTTGGGGGGGGGGGGGGG